TAAATAGCCCATTGAAGATGTGGGCAAAAGACCTCAGCAGAAGTTTCACAAGGGCAGAAATTCGAATGACCAATAAACATAGAGGAAATGTTCCCGACCATTAGCCATATGGGAAATGCAAACTAAACTATGAGCTAACCACCTCACACCCTCAAAGATAGCCTAATTCAAAAAACCAGGAAGAAACAAGCGTTGGAGGGGGTGTGGTGAGGTAGGAACTCTCATCCACTGCTGGTGGACCTGTGGGTATGTATAGTCGTTATGGAAATCGATTTGGTGATATCTGAAACACATGGAAATCAAGCTACCATATGACCCAGCAACCCCCCTACTGAGCATATACCCAGAAGTAAGAAACAGGCCAAGACCAGACATCTGCACTCCAATGTTCATCACAGCATAGCCCACACTTGTGAAGAATTGGAAGCAATCTAAATTTCCATCAACTGACAAATGGATTAAAAAACTCTGGTACATACATACAATGGGGTACTGCATATCCCTAAAAACATCGTTTCATGGGAAGAGTTGTAGGAACTTATGCTGTGAAGTTAGCCAAACACAAAGGGGCAAGTACAAGAGTCCACTCAGGTACACTCAGAAAGTACAGTGGGCATAGAGGATAAGCTACTTAATGCATGAGTCCCAGGTCAAGGTCCAGGCACATTGGCAGGGGCCAGACCCAACCCTGAGATGCATATGGCAGCCAACTAAAAAGGAAAGAGGAAAAAAAACCCAGGAAAGATAAGGATGGTGGGGGTACAGGGAACTAATCCACCCACAGGGAAGGTATTGTTTACATCTCCACAGGAAAGGGAGAGAGGGACCAGACCTCATCCCAGAGTGCCAAGTCTTGAGTGAACATACCAGCATGGAGCAGCAAACAAACAGGACCAAGCTATGGTGACCACCTCCCCAGAAAAATGTAATATAGGGGACAGCACTGAAGATACAGCCCGGTAAAGTGGTGGGTCTCTCTAGACCACAAGGGTGCAAACTAAGAAGGATGGAAGGAGGGAGGGAGGAAGAAGGGAGGGGGGAGAGAGAGAGAGAAAGAGGAGAGAGGAGGTGGAGGAAGAGGAGAGAACTTCATCGTGGCCCATCAAGCTCTGGTGAGGGCATCCTTGCTCAGAGCAGCCAATACACAGAGAGGACAGGACCATAGAGCCGGCTCCACCATGAGACACCTACCTCACTGACCCACAGCACTACAGGGGACAACACTGGAGACACAGTGCAGGAATTGTTACGGGTCTGACCCTTCCACAGGGCAAAAGGGGAGCAAAGCAACAAAGTCCCTGAGGAATCCCAAAAATTGACTTCTGACTCAGGGGACAAGGCTTGGCACCTCATGACTCCATTGGAAAACATTCGTGTGGGTCGGCAGACCTGGCTGTATTTATTTGTTTTTTTTTTTTTTTTTTGTTTTTTTTTTTTTTTTTTTTTTCTCTCTATGAGATAGGCAGGATAAACAATCCCAAGGAGAAAACAATTGGACTGGTGGTTCAAGGTTGATATGGGAGAGGCGGGCACGGGGAAGGGGAGCAGGAAGCTAACAAACTGAACAACAGATCTAAAACTGATGGCAAGGAGGGTGTAGAATGCCTGGTGGGGTTTGATCATGTGCAACGTATCCAAGACGAATTACTGAAAATGGAATGGAGGGTGAGCATGCTGGTTCTCTGCTTCAACTTGCAAGTTCCACTACCTGTGGGACACCTAACCCGTGGACTGTGTAGCTGTAGTTTGATGATCCTTTAAGACCTGCTTTGTCACGCTATTGGAGTATACATCGCTTGAGCTGGGGACTGTCGGACCCTGTTATGTTTGCTGCCTGTGGCCAGATGCCTGCATTGCTCTCTACAGAGCACTCAGCTGTCGGCTTCCTTGACTTGCATCAGTGGCCCTCAAGACGTGAAAGACTGCCAGTGTATTAGCTGTCTCACTGAGTTGCACTGAGCCATTTGTACTGCTCCATAGACTATTATTTTTTATGTTGTACATATATCTATCTAAATATATAGAAAATCCTAAGTGTCCTGGGTTTTGTTTCTCTAGAGCACCCTATCTAACATAGTCCCTTTAAACATTTTAATTCTCAGATCTTACAAGTGGGGGGAAAAAACCGTCAAAGACATTTATAGAAGGTAATATAATCTAATTCGTTAGACCTCAATAGAACAAAAATTTTTAAAGGTCATTGTAAGCCGCTATTTGAATATGGACATCTTACTTCCTAAAAGCTGGTTTTCACTTTGACCCGTAAGCAGAGAGGCCCTTACAACATCCCTGGTGGCGCGTGAGTTAAACATCAGGCTGCTCTGCAGTCGGCCGGCAGTTCGAATCCACCAGAAAGGCGAGGCTGGCTGCTCCTATAAAGATGTACAGCTGGGAAACGTGGTACAGGGATCACTGGGAGCTGGAGCCCACCTGATGGCAGTGGGTATGGGTTTTTTTGTTGTTGAGATCTCAGTTTATGGGAAAATGCCATTTCTCCATGAACTTTTGGAAGCTCCTTCAGATATACATATAGGCTGCCAAGTGATCAAGCACTTCATTTTAAAAAGCAACTTCTACAGACGAATTAATGATGAAAGTTTTGTTGGCATCTGAAAATGGTTTTGTTTTTCACTTCAAAGGTATTAGGTTACTTGCTGAACTACATATTTAAGTCAAATGTAGGAAAACTTTCCCACATGTTTTGAAAATCATTGTTGTGACAGCTTACAGAAAGCCACAAAGCCCTGCGGAAAGCCGTCTCCTCCATTCTAAGGAAGAAGCAACGTTAGTCTCAGCTACAGAATCAGAGGCAGCAGTTCAAAATGTACTCATCGTAGACATACCATCTTAAAATTTAGTGGTAATGTTAGCTCTAATGACCAAAATGACGGCAGTGATTCTTACTTAGCGGCAAAGTGAACTCCAATCTGTGATGTTGCATTGAACACACCCGGTCCTTAGCATCAGTTCTTCTACTTGGCTCCCAAATCAAGCCCAACCCATTGGTGCAGAGTCGAGACCAATTTATGCAAGCCCCCAGGAGAAGTGGAACTGCCGACGGTTTCCAAAGCTGTGTTGCTCGCAGAAGCAGACTGCCCCCTTTTCCCTGAAGTTCCACTGTGGGTTCAAACTATTGACATCTCTTAAGTCCTCTTACTGGGGTTTCATGTGCTCCCTGGGGTTTCTTGGATGCCACTCAGCACCTTTCTGAGAGGCAGGTGAAAAGGGCTAGGCAACGCTTGAATTAAAAACAAAATAAAAAACAAGGGACTACACACTGCAATTATTTCCATGTGAAAATATTCCGTAACAGAACTTTAACAAATTAAATTATACAAAAATCTGTAGGAATTCTTGGGACAGTATAGCACTTGGCATTCCTCTCTAAAACAAATTGTTTTTATTGCTACAGAAGACCTGAAATTAAGTGTATAAACCTTTGTGGCAGTTACAAAATCTCCTGTAAACTTGTGAAGGAAGAGTCTCCAGGCTGTCAAGCAGGTCATGGCCAATAATGCCTGTGTGGGCATGGCCTTCTCCTGAGGATTCTGGGCACTCTTGTCTTCCTCCCTGGAGGCGGGACACACATCGTCCCTGCGAGACATCTGTTGGCAAGACACACCCAGAGCCCTGGAGCTGGAGGAGCCACAAGGAGACCCATGCCAGCACTAGGATGCTTCCACCACCACTGGATCCACAAGACTTTTTACTCACTGGCCTGTGGTCTTCTGTCACTCAGCATCATTGCATGTATTGCGGGAGTCAGAAGAGGAATTTACAGACTGCTATCGGACATATGGTCTAATATCAGACTTATGGACTCAATCTAAACTGGTCTGATGTGTGTGTGTGTGGGGTCATATGCTCCCTGAAGGCAGTTAGTCACCAGACTACTGGGTAGGCCCTGCTCCCTGATGTTCAAGGACAATGGACAGGCCCTGTACGTGAAGTTCATACCCTATTGATAATGGTCCCTTATCAGAGCCAGGAACAGGTAAAACCGGCGGCTCTCTGACATCCAAAGTTAAGCTGCCATCCTAAGTCTAGGATCCGCCCATCTTGTCACATGTATACCCCCAATCCCTCCTCTTCCTATTGTGTGTATGCCTCTAGACCACCCCCTCATTGCTGTATAACCTATAGAGCAACCCCTCCCTGTGACGCATGTCTTTACCTGTAATTAGTGGGCTTGCACGCCTCCAAAAGGTATATAGGCCTGGGTCAGCAATAGAGATCTCTCCTCTCACCACCACTCCCCCACCCCCCGCTCGCTCGGCTCCTCCATTCTTCTCCTGTCCTGCGTTCCCTTTCCCCTTGCCCTCCCTCCCTTCCTCCACCCTCTCTCCACATGGACCACCAAGTGGGGCTGAGGTGAGTAATGCTACCAAAAATGTACCTGACTCCAATTAATTCTCTCTCTCCTCTATCTCTCATGCTCTCGATGACTTTAATATATATACATCTCAACCATTTAATTGTGCTTACTGAACCCTGAAGCTAACGGTGGGGGGCTGGCCCCCAGCTTCATACTACAGGCTGGGATGTGTTCTTAATGTACAATTACTCTCGATGGATTTGTTTCTCTAGTAAACCCGGACTAACATAACCTTCATAATGGATAATAAGGTTTAGGCTAGGAAGTGAAAAAGGAAAAGATCACCCACATTTCTAGATAACACCAAAATATTTATCTAGACTTATTAAAGAAATCACAGCACTTTGGCGTTTCAGTAAAACGTTCACGTGTCCACAGGTAAACATAATCGCATGGTATTTTGATCACTTCATAGGGACGTGAAGCTGGACAATGAGTCAGTGAAGACCAACAGGCTACCGATGCATCTGAACTAGGGTTAGGGCGAAGAACAGATCGCCAGAACAAACAAATCTGGCTATTTTATCTTGGAAGAAGTCCAGTCACAATGCTCCTTAGAAGTGTAGATGGCAAGACTTTATCTGTGGGTGTGTTATCCGAAGGGGCCAGTCCCTGGAGAAGGACATCATCCTTGGTAGAGCAGAGGGGCAGCCAAGAGGAGGAAGACCTTCAGAAAGACAGGCTGTAACAATGGGTTCCACCACAGCAGTGGTGGTAAGGATGGAACAGGATGGAGCTATCTGTTGTAAATGGAACCAGCCTTGGCAGCACCAACCACAAACAGCAACCAGGGAACAGTGCGTTGGTAAGGTGTGATCACCGTAACTTCTTGACCAAATGTGTACTTTGAAAGAACCCGTGCGCCCTCCGTAGCTACCACTCCAGCTCTACAGGGTATTCTCCAGTGAGACATGCTGTACAGTGACTGTACTTCTGAAAGCACTTCGGACCGTTTCCGTTTTCTTGGATCCTGCTGGTTTCCTGCTTTTCCATTATCTGTTTTCTAAATGGTAGCCTTTCTTGTACAGATGAAACCAGTCCGTCTACTGACAGATACACAACACTGTTTGCACCTGTGAGGGTAGAGAAAAATGAAAAGGTCAAGAACTCCTTTAGAAAGGAAGAGTTGCCTCCAGAGAAGAGTCGTTATGCCTTTCTTTAAAAAGAAAAAAGGACACACGGAACACTTTAACTAAAAGCCTTCATTTACATTATTTTGTTTAATTTCCATTGGAATTTAGGGACAAAAATTTAAAACAGTGGAAGCTTCGAGTCTAGGATGGATTTAGAAAATTCCCAGAGAACTTTCCTTGATTAACAAAATAGATTTTGAAACAGGAATATCTGAGTTAGAATTTAAGGGCAAGGTCACTTACCTTTCCTAAATCTATGTTTTCATCTGTAATTGGAGGTAACACTCCAGTAGTTTAGGGTCTTCATGTTCTTATATATTATAAAGCACACTACAAAAATGTAATATAGTTCCTGGCCAACAACAGTGAGTGCTCACAACATGAAACCCCTTAGAGTGGCACTTAAAACATTAACAGGTAAGGCATAATACATGAAACAACTGGTACACACTAGCTGAACATCCTTGTGAGATTTTACTTGATTTTGAAAGGGCATTGTCTTACCCAAAACATACTTAAGTGTTCTGGTAAACCGACATAAGCTTTTTACTTTATTATCTGTATTCATGTTGAACCATTTATTTCCTTAGAATCTGACCTTTGAGAGGCTTTAACAGATATACTTGCAGTTCTTTCGACCTGAAAAGCTTCATTTCCCCAACCTGAACCCCGTGGTGTTCAACCTCCAATTCCTGGGAACCCTCCATTCTCCCTCTGATCTCTCCTTAGTCTTGCTCTCCAACACAGCACTTAGAGTGCTGTCTGCACAGGCCAGGCCCTCCCACACTTCAAAGTGTTCAATTGATACTTGGTCAATTGACCTCCCTACTCACCGAACCTGAATTTGTTTTAGGTGCTAGTATCTCTTGCGTCTTCCCTGACAAAAATTTCTTCCCTGGTTTTTTAAATAGAGGGTAGTCTTTTCTTTCTTACTCATTATTTGTATTTTTATGTTGTTATTTTTATTTTATTCTTAGCACTATCTCAATTTGCTTTTTGATGTTTCTGTTGGGTTTCCCAGATTGTGGAGCACAGAAGGAGTGGATGTGTAGAGATAATAATTGATCCTACCATTTACAGGAGAGGTAGGGGTGGGGGTAGGAGATAGGGAGGGTGAGGGGATTTCAAGAGTAAACAATGAAAGCAGGAGGGGAGGGACCACTAGAATGAATTGTGATTACACAACTCATTGTAAAGGCAATTTAACCGGGGGGTGGGGGGTGGGGGTGGCGGTGCCCTAAAATTGTGGTAATGCTTGTACAATGTTCATACAATATGACTGAAATACTGAATTGTATGATATGTGAATTAGATACCAATAAAAATGTTCTGTTTTTTAAAAAAGGTGTTCAAGTCCTGGCCAGAATACATGGTATCTACTTTTAACAAATATGGGAACGCTACTTAAATAAGAATGCAAAGAGTTACATACTTCGGATTTTCCCCATTAATATAAGATTAAAGATATAACTAAAAGTAAACTATAATACATACCCAAATATTCTGCAAGATGTCCAAATTCTGGCTTATTGGCAATAAGCTCTTCTTTTGTGGGAATGTTTATCCCCATGAAACATGGGTACCTAATTGGCGGTGAAGCTACTCGAATGTGTACCTTGGAAAGAAATCATTTCACACATTATGTTGAGATTACAATAACTGTAACAACTACTCAAAATTCTCTTCCATATATCAAATTCAATATAAAATTGATCAAAAATTATTTAATGCCAACATAAAATTCATCAAAATATTTAATAACAATATAGCCATGACAAAGCATACCATGAAGTATTCCACTAAAATGAATTCTGAAAAATTACTTGAAATACATACAGCACTCCAGTATTCTGCCACAACTCCCCAACTCACTGCCATCGAGTTGATGCTGACTCATAGCAACCCTAGGGGGCCGGGTAGAACTGCCCTATGACTTTCTAAAACTGTTTATGGGTGTCATAGCCCCATCTTTCTCTTGAAGAGTGGGTTCAAACTGCTGATCTCTTGGATTGGAGCCCAACACATAACCAAGGGTCCTGATTGAGTCAGAACTACTTAACCACCACCAAAAAGCCCAAACTCACTGCCATAGGGTTGATGCCAACGCAGAGTGACACTGAGTATAACTGCCCTTGTAGTTTTCTGAGAATGTCATACTTGACCCTAGTGGGAAGCCTCTCTGGTGGTTTTGAACTGTTGACCTGAGGATTAGCAAAAAGCCCACTACGCAAGCCATTATCCCACCAACGCTCCTGAACCTACTTCTAGAATTACATACCAACAGAGAATCTTACTTGACTAGTCGTGCTCAGGACTTCAAAGATCACCAACAAAAATTTCACAATGTCAACCATTTCTAAAGTGGTCTACTGCCTCTTCCAGTCAGCTATCAATGGGGAATTCTCTTCCTTTAAATCTCCTACTTCTCATTTAAGGATTTGACTTCCCTACTTAATTTCCTGTTAATTTTCTTTTGTGACGCCGCAAGGGCATTTTTGTTTACCTCTTATTTAAAAGTCTTTAAATGAAAGCGATGATCCAGTAGATTAAAACAAAAACCTAAGCATAGGGGACGGAACTGGCTGGCTGGGTTCCCTCCTTACTTTGTATTGGGGTTCTCATCCTCTGGCGAGCAATAAGGAGCCCTGGTAGTGCAGTGCCCTGGGGGTGTAAGGGAAGTCAGTGGTTCTACACCACCAGCCCAGTCCTCAGAACAAAGAAAAGGCTTTCTACTCCCAAAACAAACAAACCAAAAGACCCTCCATGTTCCTTATCCCTGAAACCTAAACACTGGTCTGAGGGGCTTAAAAAAAAAACAAAGGAAGGAAAACTGAAATGGACTGTGTGTCTTTAGTGACAAGTTCATTTCAAACAAACAGACCTTGACACAGAGCTAAGTCCACCGAGACGTGTCTCCAGGAAAAGGCTGGAGTGCTGCTTCTCAGTGCTGTGCCCCTCTATGAAGCAACCTCCCTCTGCGTGGGGTCCACAGGCAGAAGGCACTCCACAGCCACGGGCTGGTTTTGTGTGGCAACGAAGAGGAACGCGCGTGGACACTTACTCTGCAGCCCTTTTGTACTGACTAGCTAATGTTTGACCACATTAAGCGTTTTCAATGGCTACATTTTATTTCATCACATGAATGTACCAATTCACTACACCCTCCTCTCACTGATAAACAGTGAAGCTACTTCTAGGTTTTTATCTTTTACTATTAAACAGAGACTGAATTTACTTTACTAGAACTCTATTTTCTATTACATGATTTCCATCCACTGAATGAATCTCAAAGAGAACTAGGATCATAATTATAAAAAGGCTGGAAAATCATAACTAAAATTATCTTTGAAACTTTCTAATTGATACATACTTTCTCAGACGGTTTCCCGTCCTACTTCCTCCTACTAGATTTTACTTTTAAATATGCTCAAAAAAATATGCTCAATTATTAGTTGCAAATAGCACCGCCATTTCCATTTCTGTAATTTGAATACTTGAAATAATTAGATTTAGAATACATTTAAAATATTTTAAACATAAAACTTAAGGTATCAAATGTGTTACACTGGAATTGCTTTTAAGTCTGCCAAGAAAGAAAATAATCCAGAGACTTATATATTCTATTTTTTCCTTTGGCTTTTGTTATACCTTTTAGTCAATTTTAAATACTTTCTAAAGCTTTTATGTTTAGTTTTTAAATCTAATACAGATCAAAATTTAGCAAGTACTACTACAGAGATTACTAAACCTCACTGATCAGAAGGTTGTCATATGAACCATCCATTCTGATTCACGGTTCTGAGTGTTTGTGGCAACATCACCCGAATGACTAGTATTTCAGGATATCTTTTGATTTTTCTTACCTCTTTTGCACCGGATTCTTTGAGTAATTTTATTATGGGCGAGATGGTATTGCCTCTCACAATTGAATCGTCTACAAGCACAATTCTTTTGCCTTTAAAGTTGTCTGACAATACTCCAAATTTTTTTGCAACACCAAGTTGTCTCAGCCTCATGTTTGGCTGTATGAAGGTTCTTCCAACGTACCGATTTTTACATAGCACCTCTATATACGGAAGGCCACACTGGAGGAGGGGGAAGAAGATAACAATCAGAAGCAATATCTAAAATACTCCAGGCTCCTAGTTTCTGTAAGTCAGACTAACACCACACCATGTATGCAAAGTTTCAAAATTTTATTTCTAAACTCTTCATCACCTCATTATGATTTTCCTGCACTTATTTAAGCTGTGTGAGTTAAGACCCATAATGTAAAACAAGCGATAAAAGTACACTCCTTGGCTAAACCAATTCATTCTGTGAGAATCTGAAGTGCTTCTCTCTAAATAACTATCACTACAAATACTCCTCCCCTGGAAGGACAATACTACACCTCTGAAAACATGGCAAGCAGGCATCACCTTCAGAAGATGTTACGTGAGGGGGCTACAAAAAGTTTGTGATAAAAGGAATTCAAAGAGAATGATTATTTTCCCTCCATACTTTTTGATGTCCTCATTTAAAAATGATCAGCTACAAGAAATTAATTAACCAGTACATGAAAGAGCTGCTTTTTGAGGGAAAAGAAGTAATTTATACATTGCTCAAGCTATTAGCTTTGTAAAATGGCATTTCTTGTACAAACTAATAAACCAAGCTACCCAAAGGAGTGGATGTTGTATATTATAATTCAGGATCAAACTACTGGTTGCAAAAATGGAAAATTAGGCATAACACTAGGAACAATATTTTAAAAGGAAAAATAAAGCTTTGTTATTATTCACATTTAGTAAGGAACAAATTCATCAGTGGCTTACGAGGACACTTCAAAGAACAGATGAATACATATTAACACCAGATTCTACGTATACTCATGTTGTTATCTTTCCACACTGTAGGAGTGTGTGCTGTGGTTTTTATTGAATGTAGAGGCATTGAATGAAAAGGCTGAGAAAAAAAATAACTCTCGCAAGCAAATCAGTATTCATCCTCACACCGTCCTTTTTCTTTATAATAAGTCGATAAACATTTCTCCACATCGGCAGGATGTCTTGTTCCTCTGAGAGGAGAAATTCACTGGACCTTGCTGATCAAGAGCACACACCTTTGTGGCGTAACCCAGAGCGGCTGGCGTGGCAGATTCGGGAACCGTGCTGACCAGATCTGCATCTACAGGGGCTTCAATTGCCAGCTGCTGCCCACAGCGGTATCTCACCGTGTACACCATTTGGCCTGGTGTCGTTGGCAAAGGAAACAGATTCATTTTACTCAGTGTGATACAACAATATGGTTAGTCTAAAAACACTAGTTTGACTTTGACTTAACAAGATTTACTACAGATAAAAAAAAAAATCACAATCCTAAGAAACAAACAAAAAAAATCCTCAAAGAAAAACAAAACTTAAGATCTGAATGAAAGTGGGGGGTGGGGGGGTAGGGGTGTGTGTGGAGGGTCAGGTAGCACTCCAGGCCAAGCATGGCCATGGTCCACGGAGGTCAACAAAAGAGCTATGCCAGTAACAGTCCAGGAAAAGAAAGTTCCCTTACCTTCAAATATACTATCTGGTCTTGCAAAATATACATATTCAAAGATACAAAAAGCCATCGGATTTCCTCCAGACCTTGGTATGATATCAAGTGTTTTCACACCGTCCTGTCTGGAGATTTTCACAATTTCTCCAGGCATGACTTCCCGGAAATATCTAGGGAAATAATTTAAAATATTAAGGAAAGAGGACTTTATTTAAGTCCTTAAGGCTGATAATAACAACTCTGATAAGGCACTTCTAGAGAGCAGATGGTCCAGTTTAACATAGATCTAAAGATGGTCTTTTTCTTAAGTAAAAGGGAATTTGCCTATAGCAGCAACTTATATAAATCATTTTTTCACCCATAAATTCCAACTCAGTTTTCAAATATAAAGGGCCTAGGCTTACAGGTTTTGGAAGAATAAAGGCTGTGGGGACAGTGTTTCTACAGTAACTATTCCTTGTCCTCGTTGAAGAGCTCGATCCTTTTCCAAAATGTCTAAGCAATCTGAAAGAAGGGTACGAGCTTCAGAATTAGAGTTAGAAGGTATCACTGGACATTAAAGTCAAAGTCACTGCAACTGTAGGACAGGTACAAAAGAAAAGGTGTTTTTTTGTGGTGCAGTGAGAATTTTTTTTTAAATCATTTTATTGGGGGCTTGTACAACTCTTATCACAATCCATACATCCATCCACTGTGTCAAGCACATTTGTTGTCATCATCATTCTCAAAACATTTGCTTTCTACTAGGGCCCTTGATATAAGCTCCTCATTTTTCCTCCCTTCCCTCCCCTCACCCATGATAATTTATAAATTCTTCATATTTTGTCATGTCTTACACTGTCCGGCGTCTTTCTTCTTCCACTGCACCCAGGGAGGGGGTTATACGTAGATAATTGTGATTGGTTACTCCTTTCTCTCCACACCCACCTTCCCCTTAGCCTACTGATATCACTAATCTAATTCTTGGTCCTGAGGTGTTCATCTGTCCTGGATTCCCTGTGTTTCCAGTTCCTCTCTGTACCAGTGTACATCCTCTGATCTAGCCAGATTTGTAAAGTAGAATTGGGATCATGATAGTAGGGGGGGAAGCATTCAAGAACTAGAAGAAAGTTGTATGTTTCATCAAAGTTGTAAGTTTCAACACTGCACCCTGATTGGCTCTTCTCCCCGCGACCCTTCTGTGTAGGGTATGTCCAGTTGCCTACAGATGGGCTTTGGGTTTCCACTCCACACTCCCTGTCATTTACAATATGATTTTTTTATCAAGAAAAGGCTCTTTTAAATGTGTTTTCTTGCCAATGAAAGTTCCTTGTATATTAAAAGTCAAAAGAAAAACCACAATGAATAAATTAAAAGCTAAAATGCTAAACGATAGACTTACATGGCACCAATTGATAAAAAGCTACACGATTCTGAAGACACCACCCATCCTTCTGGGTCTAAAGGGTTTTTTCCTGTAAACCATAAGATCAATGTGGTTAATGCACACACAAGAAGCTGACCATTTCCAGAGCACTTTTAGACACCAGATAGATAAATGAAGAACACTCGCAGAATGTTTCTATGACTTCTAAGATCGCATGCATTTTCATTTGCTTTAAGTCAAACATTAAGTAAATCACCTCCCAAGATTCTTTCTAATATTAGGATACCAAGGCTGGAATAAGACACCTAGGTCAAGAACAAAATCCCTAAAGCCTGTACTACAGATATCAAAGAGCTGATCGAAGGACACAGAGGCAGGCAAGGCAATCCAGACAGAAAAGAGGGGACACACAATAACGACGTGAAAAGCATCGCAGCCTCAGCAACTCAACCAATCCACTTCTAGTCCAGCCCCCCACCATAAATGTCTTACACCTAAAGATCTGGGGGTATAACACTCCTGCTTTGTACAGAAGGCCTGGGAGTGTAATGGGTCATAAGATAGGCTGCTAGCAGCTAGCTCAGCACTTCAAACCTACCAACTGCTCCCCGGAGTTAAGATGAGGCTTTCTGTACAGATTTGACGCCCTCATAAACCCACGGGGCCAGTTCTCCCATGTCCGTTAGGGTTGCTGTGTGTCAGAATAGACTTGCTGGCAGTGAGACCAGTGTGATCTTTGAAATTATATTCCACCTTAGGTTTTTTACCTTTTTCATTTATATCAGGTACGGGAATAAGGCGGCCAATGCACAGAGGACGATTCCCATATGGATCTCGCACTGCATAAATAGCGTCTCTGTGCATGATAAGCAGGGAATATGCTGTCGGGGCCTCGCTCATCAAGTTTTTAATCCTGAAAAGTAATGAAATAATTGAATGAACAATCCCAGTTACAGACGCAAGCATGGCCAAGTTCTCGTTACCACAGCTGCAACTCCAAGTCGTACACTGACCTTGCTATCCAGTCTGGGGTATCGTCTCGCTCCTGAGGAGGGGTGCACGCCAGTAACTGGGTGATCATTTCACTATCAGAACTTGTGGATAGGCCAACACCATGACGGAGAAGCTGTATATAGAGACAGGCGGAACATGTAATCATTAGACGGGAAGCTCCACCCCACCTTTCCCCAACAGGCAGCCATAACAGACAGCTGCTGCTACTCGCTTAGAAAACCCTGCACCCCACCAAGGGCAAAAGTGTATGCGTGTATTAAGAACTGAGACGCTGAACATTTTCACATACACAAAAAACTACTTTAGAAGACAGACAAACCCTTTAGACAGTGAAGTTTGAAAGAAGGTTGGAGCTATTCTGAAGGAGCCATGAGGATACGGGCTAGGGACCTAACCTGTTCTACCTTCACCAGCCCAGACAATCGGGTAGAGCCCTTAAGGAGGTGTGGCACTCTACAGTCTGCTGGTGGCTGTTCATCACCAAAGACTATTTCTAACAGAGTTAGAAGAAATCGATTGTATTAACTTATTAAATGTAACAAAATCATAAATTCTTGGTTGTACGCTGGTGAATATGAGGTTTTACACAAGGATGACTAAGATAAGGGTATTCTTTTTAAAAAATCATTTTATGGGGAGAGCTCTTACAACATTCCATACATCAATTTTATCAAGCATATTTAAACACATGTCTCCATCATTTCCGAAACATTTTCTACTTGAGCCCTTGGTATCAGCTCCTCTTTTTCCCTCCTCCCCCACCTTCCCACCCTCGTGAATCCTTGATCAATTATGTATTGTTATTATTATTTCATGTCCGTTGTCTACCTTCACCCACATTTCTGTTATTCATCCAGGATAAAGGCATGCTTGTCGATGTGCATAGGAATTTAATTCCAATCATTTTGAGTAGGCAAAAACAAAATAAGGCGAAAGACAAACCCACTGCCATTATGTAAATTCTGACTTGAAAGCAACCCTACAAGACTGAGTAGAGATGTTCCTTTGGGTTTCCAATACAGTAAGTCTTTACAGGAGCAGACAGTCTTCTTCACCCCACAGAGCGACTGCTGGGTTTGAACTGCCCACCTTATGGTCAGCAGCCCAACACAGCCCATGCCAACAGGGTTCTTTATGGGAGGAGACAAAGGGATTTTATCTAGAAATAATGAGTTGAAAATAACTGAAACTGAGCTCTTAGTGGCGATCTCAATGGGGATGAGTTGGGGGCAGGGGTTGTGTTGTTTGTTTTGTAGTTTTTACTTCTTCATACAAGGAAGCTTCAAAACATTGTGGGGAAAATGACACTAAAAAGCAATGGAAATTTCTCACACAAACTTTCTGAATTGGGGGGAAGTGAAGAACGTAAGAAAACAGGGAAACGCCCTGGGAAATATCCAAAGGTAGATTCAGAAGTAGGGCAATGAGTGGTCCTGCGGACTGGGCTCTGGATGCTCTCCACCCACCAGTTAGCTCATCATCAAGTTCTGTAGCTATTTATCCTATATGAAGTCCTTGGCCTAAAATCTAAGGGGAAAGAGTTTGTGTGTGTGTGACTGTTCTGCCACTAAAAACCATCTAAAGACATACCTGACAGCAATTCATGAACACCAAGTAAGTAAGCTACCAAGAATATAAAAAGACACCACCTGGCCAAGGACAAATGGGGGAGTTGGCAGAGGGTGGGGGAGGGAGGAGGTACGCATGGGTGTGTGTGTGTGTGTTAGGAAATGACAAGAGGTACAGGCTAAGAACTGAAACCACAAGCAGTGCAAGTTCCCAATAACATGCAATCAACAATATATCTTGCCTGGGCTATCTTTAGGTTATTACAAATGTTTCCAAAGCATTTTTCTCATACTTGTCATCTGGAAGGTTAGGTTATACTCCATCTACTTCTTATGCTTTGCGCACGGGAACCAATTTCTCCGTGCTTCTAGCATCGACCTTAAATCTCTGCCAACGCTCTACTCTGATAGGCAGATTCTCAACATACACTCCTCCCAACCCAGCCCTGACAGCTGAGGGACTCGGGGTGGCACTTTGGAATCTGTCGTTCTAACAGGCACCCCAGGGTATTCTGATGCAACTGTTCTTTGCAGTTAGACAACAGGTGGCAACAATTTTTAAAAGCCTTTAACAAGATCTTCATAGAGAAATCACAACTGTTAGAAAAAGAGAATGAAAAATCAAGCCCACCTACCTTTTTCCTTAAGGGGCCTGCGTTGACCAACTCGCCGTTGTGTGCCACCGCTATTTTGCCGTGCAGCGTCTCAACCACAAAGGGCTGACAGTTTTCTAACTCACAGTTTCCAGTCGTGGCGTACCTCGTGTGTCCAATCCCGAGATTGGAAATATATAATTTCTTCAAGTTGTCCTCAGTGAAGACATGATTCACAAGACCCATTCCCTTACAAAGGCAAAGAAAGGCAAAGTGCATCTCAGAGACAAACAGAGCAATAAAAGGTGCTGGCCCTTTACTTAAGCAATCCCAAACCAGAAACCACACAAAGCAGAGTATTCCTAGTGCTTCAGAAGCGCTAAACCAGTTAGTCACTCCAAGAACATGTGAAGCATATAGGTTGTAGTGCCTGCTCTCTAAACATTACAGCGCAATTCAAACTACTTATCCAAAATTCCCCAGCACCCTATCCTAGTTGTGTAGCCATTGTTATCTTTATAATCAAATTCCTAAAGGTTCGAGTGTACCTTGTGTGTTCTGAACTTTGGTACAGAACTTCCATCGCTGGTCACAATTCCAGCACTCTCCTGACCCCTGGAAAGAAAACAAAAGGTACCAGCTGTTAGATGCCCAGTTGGTAAGCCTCTTGAACTTTCTGAAACTCACTTTCCTCATCAAGCATCCATGAACATGGTCTGATAGCATACTTAATGCTACTAGGACAAGGACCACACATGATCAGTAACAACAGCAAATGAAAAGGAACAACGGATGGGTCTTCTTATATGCCAGTCACTGCCCCAAGTATTTATATGAACAATGCTGTGACCGACAGAACCAAACTCACTGTCACTGAGTCGATTCTAACACTTAATGACCCTACAGGAGAGGGCGGAACTGCCCATTTGGGTTTCTGAGATTTCAGATCTTTATAGACATAGAGCCTGACCTATCTCCAACAGAATGGGAGACTGGTGGGTTCGAACCACTGATCTTACGAACAACAGCTCAATGGTACCCCTTTGAAGTACATATTATCAGGGCCATTACAGATAAGGGGCACTAAGGGAACAAAATCACTTGAAGAAGTGAAGTAACCTGCCCACTGTCAAGCAGAGAGCAATGACGGCCAGGATTATACCCAGACAATATGATTCCATACACAAACAAACAAACAAAAACTCACTGCCATCAAGTTGATGCCAACTCAACAGCGACCCTATAGGGCATGTAGACCTGCCCTTGCTGAGTTTCCAAGACTTTAACTGTTAATAGAAGCAGAAAAGCCCTGTCTTTCTCCCTCAGAGCAAGCAGCTGATAGTTTCAAACTGCTGACCTTTCAGATTATGATTCCTTATAACCTTCTAAATTAGGTTTTTAAAGGAAAATCTCTAAATATAAGAGCAGGTAAAATGCTTATTTCTGGATACTACCATTTGGACACTTCTGCTTTTTCTTTCAAAGTTCTGATATTTCTCTCTACCTAGATTATGTTTTAAGGAAGACAAAGAATGGGTCACGTGCATGTGACAGCATGTGAACTAAAGTGTTCTGGACTCTGCCTGTGGCTAGGACCCCATTGTGAAGGAGTTCTGTTACAGGATTAAGTAGGGCTATGTCCTGACCTGAGTAGAGGGTGTGAGCCAAGTCACACCCTGTTACCTTGGGGACATTTTCAAGATTACTAGGGGGTCTGACACAAGACACCACACCTCCAAAGCCATTCCTCCAGGTATGTCCCAGCCATCTGGGACACAGAGAACCCCAGGTCCGTTAGAAGAGCATGTCCAGAATCTGTCTTAAGTGGTGGAGGCTTCCGAGAGCAGATGCACCAAAGACTGTGGCACTGAGGCTCTGAGGAGCAGTGGTGGGGCAGGGGTACCTTCTCATCTGACTCAAGACTATGGGCAATGAGACCCAGACATGCCGGTTGGCTTCCTAGCAGAAGGCCAGAGGGCACGTGACTGAGCGGCTGAGGGCCAGAGAGTTGGCTGCTGGCTAAGTGAGAGTGGACAGAGAGCCTGCAGCCATAGTATGGGGAAGAGGCTCGGTGGAGGAAGCACCGGGATGACTGGAGGGGTGAACTCAACAGCCTCTGACAGTTTAAATCTTACATCAGCAGACATCAGATCCCTAGGCTGATTTAAACTTCAAAGTCAGCAAACCTGAGACCCAGCCATGGACAGAGAGCATGACACAATTTATGACTGGACCTGAGAAATAAATAAGACCAGTCCTGGAACTGGTCCATTCATAACCCAGAGATGCAGACAGGCCAAGTACCCCACATCTGATAAAAACCCCTAGACACAGTTCATTCAAGGGCAACTCACTGGAGTGCCCACCTGCTGTGCCAGGTGCTTTTCCTTCCTTTCCAACTCAACTCTCTTTGTGCTTGCCGTCTGTAGTCCCTGGACACATCTGAGCAGTTGCAACATGAGGAGAGACGTTGCTGTGGACCAATGACTGTATCCTTCATGTTTTACGGATCCTGAACTGGGGTGACCTATTAACTTCCCTAGGAGCCCCAGTTACAGTGAGCTGCCATTCTTCGGAGAAAGACGAGGCTTTCTGCTCCCATAAAGAATTACGTCTCAGAAATCCATAAGGGCAGTTCTACCCTATTCAAAGGGTCACTATGAGTTGAACCAGCGAGTTTTCTTCTCTTTAAATTCCGTAACAAAACCCCTTAATTGTATTATCTGTGAGTTCTGGGTGGCCTTTAGCAATGATCAAACCCAGCATAGAAATAGGGTTGACATGGGAGGAATGGTTGGTGGCAGAACAGGTCAAGAAGGATGGATCCTAGAGGCCTGTCTGGCCCCTGCCTCATGGTGACAGGGAAGCCAGAGGTCAGATAGGTCCACCTCCAGACCATCTATTGCACTACAGAATAGATACCAAGGTAAACATGAAAATAAAATCTCTACCAGATATGTACATAACCAAAACCAAACCCAACTCATTGCCATTGAGTGGATGCCAACTCATGGAGACACAATAATGTACATACACATAAACTGATATATTTATCTCAGTTATTTGGTATAAATAATCTCTTCCAAATTTTAAAATAGTAATTGTTTAAGCATTTCAATCACAAGAAAATCCTTAACATATTAAAGTTTCTGTCAAGTAAAAAAATTTTAAAAGAATACAATCACTTTACTAATGCATTAGATACTAGGCTAAAAATAGATGTGCCCAACACTACAGCATATGTGAGAGTGAATATATTGTGACAGATTTATTTATTTATCTAGTGAAGTGATGTCAGAAGACCAAGTGATTCATGGCAGAGGAAGAGAAGCATTCACATCAACTCTGAACATCAGGGCCACAGACTCTGCCCATCATTTCAAAACAGCCTTTAAAATCAGCCATCATTTGGTAAAACAGGAAATTGGGGAAGGAAAGAAATACAACACAAAAATGTTTTCCTTTCCCTTCTGCCTCAAGGGTGGTTTTCTCCAGAGTGGAAAGGAATAAGGTCAAAAGTCTTTTGGGTCTGAGCTGCTGTTAATCACAATGCCTGCTTATTTGGCAGTTTCTCAAATTACTCCCCTCAGGCGGCTTGAACCAGTTCAACAAGATCCTTGCAGCTTTTTGGAGCTTACTGTCAACCAGCCGGCTGGTTTCCTAGGAAACAAAACCTTGGCTAGAGATAGTGAATCATTTCCAGGTCACTTTCAACATGGAGAGTGGCGCGGGGAAGCACTGGACTGAAGAGGAGGTTAAGGTTTTGTTAAGTATCTGGGGAGAAAAAAGCATACGAAAACGACTCCATGGAACCCTCAGAAATAAAGGAGTCTTTATTTACATCTCGAGCCAGCTGCAAGCATTAGGCGTTCACAGAAACTGGAAACTGTGCTGGGCAAAGTACAAAAATCTCAAATAAGAATACAGGACAGTCAAATGTGCTCACAACTCTGGAGACGGCTCTAAGACGATGAAGTTCTTCCGCGACTTGAAGGCGATCCTGCAGCTCGAACCTGCCACATCTGTAACTGAGGAGGATGTAAGCGGCAGGTGTCTGGCTATGGCCAGCCCCAGCCAAGCCCGAGAGACCACGGAAGGTAAAAAGAAAAAGGACTATCTTTTTGTTGTTACCTAGTGAACTATAAGAATACAGAACTTTTAAGACGACCTAGATAGCCTGGAATACCAAACTAAAGAAAAACAACTAACATACTATGCTGTTTTGCACAGGGTAAAACTTAATTAAAAGGGGGTGGGGGAGAAGGGGAATGGTGTTTCTGCCTTCACTTTTTCAATCTGTACAATACAGAAAACTCACATTAAAGATGTTGAACTTCTAATGCCAGCTACTGCTTAAACATGGTTGAAATGTTTCTGACACATGGATTTGGGTTCTGAAAATAGTTTTGAGTTTTAACTTTTGAAGAGTTGCCCACAAACCCAAACCCAAACTACAGCTCCAAATATAGAACTTCATTTCAATGTCCAAATTTAGACATATGGCACTAAAATACTAACTATAGACAAACCTTGTTTGCAGGGAGGCACTTCATTTTAGAGATGACTTAAAATAGTTAATAAATGATTCAGTACTCAAAGCAAGGTGCATGGCCTGCTGAGTGGTTAAAACCTGGCACCATTTACACAGAATTTGCCCTAAGTCTATGGAAGGGCACTCATTCCCAGGCAGAAGGCGCGAAAATGAGCAGCAGTAAGCCAGAGTGGAACAGATGCTGTGTTGAGGAGCAGAGCTGTTCAATGCGCTGGTGGTATTGTGTCCATGTGCAGAGCAGGGTTACATGTGCTCCTTAAGAGGAGGACTCCATGACTCCAGCAAAGTGCTTAAGAGAAAAGGGGGAAGAAAAATACCAAGTGAGGAGGTGGTTCAGAGGACTAACTCCAATTGGGTGAACTTGGGGTAGCTCCCTTCATGGTTAAGATCAATTATTGAATCTTCTGTTAAAAATATCTACCACACCACCCGGCTTTGTACTGTTGGGGGTAGCTTTGCAGTCATAACCACATTCAAGAGCAATTACGCCAAGGGCTCAAGAAGAAAGTAAATGCTTAGAAAATAATGATGGCAACACATGTACAAATATGCTTGATACAATAGATGTATGGACTGTTATAAGAGCTGTAAGAGCCCCCAGTAAAATGATCTTTAAAAAAGAGGGAAAGAGCAATTACACTGTATTATGGAGTTGATCACCCTGGACACTTAATCATTTAAATACTTGCCATTGAGTTGGTTCAACTCATAGCAAACCTAAGTACAGCACTGCCTGGTCCTGCTTCATCATCACAATTGTTCTTGTGTTTGAGCTCATCATTGCGACCACTGTGTCCATCTATCTCATCAAAAGCCTCTTTTTTGCTGCCCCTCTACATTACCCATCAATGCCCTTCTACAGGAACTGGTCTCTACTGACAGCATGTCCAAAGTACATGAGATGAATAACATTCTGGCTGTACACTTCTTCCAAGACAGATGTGTTTCTTTTGGCAGTCCAGGATACTTTCACCAGGACTATAATTCAAATGCATCAATTTTTCTTCAGTCTTCCTTATTTAATGTCTAACTTCCACTTGAATCAGGCCGATCTTAACTCTCAAGGTAACATCTTGTTTTTCCATACTCTGAAGAGGTCTTGTGCAGCAGATTTACCTAGTACAATAGGTAAATTGTACTTTTTATCTCTTGACTGCTGCTTCAATGAGCTTTGATTGTGGATCCAAATAAGGGATGTCTTTGACAACTTCTCCGTTAATCATAATGTTACCTACTGGTCCAGTTGTCAGAGTTTTGGTTTCCTTTGCATTGAATTGTTATCCATTTCCGAAGGCTACAATCCTTGATCTTCATCAGCAGCTGCTTCTAAGTGCTAAGTGACAAGTGTATCAGTCAGCTTCAGAAGTAGGTCCTAGCATCCCAACTTCCTAAAAGTCATCTTCAGGATAACCCAAAGGGCCACAACGCCAAATTCCTCCGCTTGGCTCATAAGCCTAAGACCCACATGTGCAGCTATGTTATGTTTAAAGCATCTCAAGCCCCCAGTTCTAAAACCAACTCTCTTTCTTCTTATAAGTTGATTCTGCTATAAATCGCTAACACCATATTTCTGGTGATTCAAACAGAAGTCTTGAAGATGGTTTTGACTTCTGATCAGTCACCAATGTTTCATAAAATTCTCTCTGCTTCATTCTTATCATTCAAACTTCACAATCTCTCACATGGAATATTAAAATAAGACCCTGAACTGGTCTCTTCCCATTCGTCTTACTGGTTGTTATTCTTTTTTTTTTTTTGGTTGTTATTCTTTAAAAGTAAATCTTTTTTATTTTTTAAAGATTAAATCTTTTTCTTAATAGTTCTGAAATATTTAATTGGGTGCATATTGAGGTCCTTGCTTAATATAAATGATTTTACAATCAGTACCTTTGTTCCAGATATAAAGTTACCTTAGGATACATTAAAAGATTAATTACTAGGTCAACAGGGTTATGATTACTCTTTAACATATTGATGAAATAAATGCTTGCTAATAATAACTATTTATACTGGTCTATGGCATCAATAATTTTAAAAGCTCTATTTAATTACTAGTGATATTGAATACTTCCTATATATTAGTTCACTTTTATGAATTTGGTGCACTTATGTCTCATTTGTCTAAGGCAAAAGCAGAATAATTTTTGTTGACATTGGTAAATAGCTACCACTTGTCTGTCAGTATATCACACTGTGGGGACTTGTGTGTTAGCAGTGCTGAAAGCTACGCCATTGTGGTCACCCATTGTAAACTGGCCTCAGTCTATACCTCTGGTTTACACCTTATAAATATCGGGAAAATTGGATCTCACCTACAAAAACAAAACAAAACAGGACCTCATATCACATCCCAAAACAAACTCAAGGTAGATTGAAGGCCTAACTATAAACTCTAGAGCTGTAAAGATCATCAATGAACAGGCAGGGACAAACTTAAGGGCTAAACATAATGGAAAATACCCACACTCCAGATGACAAAACAAAGGATTGAAGCCTTCTAAAAACATGACGTGTAGATACATGAAAAGACTTTATTAGAAGAGTTAAAAGAAGACCTATACAGGAGGGAAAAATTGGTAATGATATATCAGATAAAGGGCTAATTTCAAATCCATAGAAAATTGTTGTTGCTGTTACGTGCTATCAGGTTGGTTCTGACCCATAGCAACTTTATGCACAACAGAAAGGCTTTATGGACCACAGAGCAACAGTCCAGTCCTGTGTCACCCTCACAATTGTTCCTATGCTTAATCCCACTGTTGTAGCCACTGTGTCGGTCCATCTCATTAAGGGCCTTCCTCTTTTCCCCTGCCTCTTTACTACAGAACATTAAACAACCTTAATAAGAAAAACAAATAAATCAATTTAAAAATGAGCACAAGACATGATCATAGATATATGTATTTGCATTTGTTTAAGGAAGCACCAGAGTTTTCCACGGTGGTTATATAATTCTGTAAACCTACGAGCAATGTAGGAGCCTTTCAATCTCTCCACCATTTATTATTATTTTTTTTTAAATTTTGCTAAGAGTGTCAATGTGAGGTGGCATCTTGTTGTTTTCATTTGTATTTTTCTTATACCTAATGAACTCTGGCATTTCATGATTGCCGCCTGGATGTCTTGTGCCCATTTCATAATTAAAAAGAACATGTTGATACCAAAACCCATTTTGATACCCTGACAACCAAAACCAGACACACACAATTAAAAGCAAAAAATATAGGCAAATATCACCCATGAACATAGATCCCATTAAAATTTTTTCATAAAAGTCTAGCCAATACGGATGATTCCTTCAGGACCAGTGGTGTGAGTGGTCATACTGGGAGGGTAGAGGGAGAGTGGGTTGGAGATTACAAGAAACTATATATGACCTCCTCCCTGGGGGACGGACAAC